GGCCACAGCCATTTAACATATCCAAGTGACCCCACCAAAGGCTACAAATATGTTAAATGACCATGCCATGGATTAGCTGCAAGGATGTGGCTGTACAAAACAGCCCTGCATGTTCCTGCTCCATGTGTCCCTTCCCCCAACTCACACCTGTGGGGGGAAGGGGTGAGGACATCTTAACATCTTATATGTCTCTCCAATATTCCTATACACTTTGAGTTCTGGACACCATTCCAAATCTTTTTTTGGGGGGGGGGCCTCCTTGCCTGCAGCCTGTATCAATGGGAGCCAACAGGGAGGCAAATAATCTCTGAATTGCTTGTATTTGTCTCCAACCTGTTGGGCATTGTTTTGGATTATGTTGGGCTCGTATTCTGGGAGATTTAAAGATAAAGGTTAATATTTATCCAGCAGTTATGGGCCTGGGCTAAGCTCTTTTCATCATTCTCATTTAATGATCTCAGCAGCGTTGTGAATTCATACAGTTATAATCTGCTTTTTTAATAGATGAGATAATGGATTAGGAAAAGTGAATAATATCCTCAGCATTTACACATAAGATAGCAGACTGAGGACTTGAACTCAAGGCACCTGTCCCCAGAGTCCCTGTACCATTAGTGACTCTGCCGACCCAGATTGGAAATACCCCTCCTGCGGGGCACGTGCACGCCCGCTGCAGATCCATGTCCGGGAAAGCTGGGTACAGAATCAAAGCAAAATGAATCAGAAGAAGAACAAAACAAAATAGAAATCTCCAACGGGAACTCTTTCCTTTACACATTGTCAAAATCCTGTCAATGCAGAACTCACAGGCATGGCCATAGGTCTTATATCTATCTACCTGTAATTAAAATGGAAAGCAAGGGTTGTAAATTTCTTGGTTTCTGCAGAAACAAGTGGTCATAGCATTAACATGAGCCACATGAGTACTTCATGAGTTCAGTCTACAGATATTTCATTTGGGCACATGTTTAAAATTTAATTTTAACTATTTTAAGGAAAGCTGGGTACTTTGCATTTTGGCACAGTCCTCACCACTCCATGTCGGGTTTTACCTGATCCACTCACTATGTACCTGCTTTGCCTCTCAGGCATTTGTGTTTGAAATCCCTGCTTCCCAACAGAAATGTGGGTGGACCTGGGATGACTTTCTGTCTTTTACATCTGTAGTATGTTAGCAAACAATACACATATTTTATCTAGAGACAACTTCTGATGAGGCATTTTCTCTCTTATGTTTATGTTACTATCATGGTCTCCTCCTTTTTTCTCTTTTTTGAGCACAAACATTCCTTTTTTTTTTTTTGGTTGGGAGTGGATTCTTATTTATTTACTTTTTATCTCTTCTTGGCTGGGGGTAGGTATTTGTCAGAGAAGGAAAGGGAATTTTTTTGGGGGGGTGGAATTCTTAGAGATGCTTTAAAGTAAACTGATGAAGATCTGCTTCTCTGACTTCTACTTGGCCCTTGGTAAAGATATGGTTTCAAGGTCCAGTCAACTGTTAGTGTGTATAAGGGAAGATGGTAGCGCTTGTATTTACCAGAGGAGGTCAAAGTCAAGTTTCTTTTTCTCCTCTGAGTCTCGGTTTCCCTATCTGTAAATGCAAGTGATGACACTTCACATAATTCACACACAATGTTAATACAATATCCAGCAAAGTGCCCAACACTTTAGAAATCCTGCACATGTAGGTTGCTATGCCCCTTCCACCAGTTCTTTTCAGAAACGAGGACTGAATATAGACCCTGCCAGTGATATCAAAGTATATACAAGGATTTCTGATGAGAATGTCAGGGAAAGATTGCAATAAAAATGTACTCTTGCCAACAAAAGCTCCCTAAAACCACCACACTGTGTAAATATGCCTTATATCTAAATTCATTTCCGTGTGCACGCTTGCACATATATGCTGCATCTGTGTCCATGCAGGCACACATGAGCACACATGGATGCGGCATTTGTGTGCTCATTGCTGTGTTTGTGCATGCAAGTGTGTGTGTGTGTGTGTGTGTGTGTGCAGAAGGAAACTGGGCTGGAGGAAGAGGATACATTGCACTAGCTACTTGATGGTAACCCTTATTCAGTGTATTGTAACTCATGGTACATAAAATAAAGTTTGTTTATGACATCAGTCTTATCTTCTAATTAAAATCATAGGCCTGCAGCTCCTTTATACCTGCATAAAATAAGCAGTTTAATTTCTCTGCACCAAGGGAAAAATTATTTCATTGCCTTGTTATGTAGCCTATCACTTCGTGGTGTGCAGTAAGCAAGGGCGATTATGAAAGTCTCATTCTTACCCAGTACATTTGTCCTCTCATGCTCTGCGAGAACATGAATGCATCCTCTGAGGTTTCCTCAAGGGCAGTCACGGTGCTTTTCCCAGTTATCCTTACCCTGTCATAGTGCCAAACAGGGAGAAATTTATTCTATCTCTGAATAACCCACGCGAGAGCTCTCCCCTAGATGAGTGATTTTTAACCAGTGTGTCACGGCACACCGGTTTGCTGCAAGAGTTTTTTAAACATGCAACACCTGACTACTTAGTCAGGGATACTGACTTTTCTTCCCCTAGATTGTCAAATGAAAAAAATGACAACAGCTAACACAACAATATCTTTCCAGTATGAATGAAACAAAATTATACCTAGCTTTTGTCAGATCAGCAAAAAATAAATATTTACTTTTTGATGTGCTGCAGAATTTTAGTAATTAGTTTATATGTGCCATGAGATGAAAAATGTTGAAAATTGCTGTCCTAGATTATTTACATGTGCATGAAAAAATACACAATACATCCATTTCTTAAAAATTTGCTGATAACTAGTAATAACTTATTTCAATAAAGCCAAAGCACGTGTCTGACAAAGCAAAGGTAAACTGGTCTTAGAAACTGTAAAGGAATAAAAGGGAAAAAAAAACTATGAATATTAACAGTTAAAAGGACTGAGTTTCTTTTAAAGCTTACTTTATAATACTAATATATGCTATGCTAACATTTTAATGATCCTCCTATTTAGTAGTTTTATTTTACAAGGTACAAAAATGTATTTTGCTTTACTATAGATGTTGGGCACCATGATTCAGGCCGTGTGGAGAAGTAGCCCCAACAATTGGTAGCAGTTTAGGCAACGACAGAAAAGCTGCAAGGAGAAAGAAGCTCATTTGCTTATTTAGTCACTTGGTAAATATTAGGAACTCAAAGGAGTTGGGTTGAGCTGAATAAAAATGGTCAAAAGAACTGTGCTGCTAATGAAGCCAGAGACATAAGCAGAGGGCAGATTATGCCAGGCTATTTTAAGGATTTCAGAATGTAGGAGGATACATGATAAGCCATTGAATGGTTTTAAGTAGGGGAATGTCCGAATCAGATTTGTATCATAGAAAGATTGTTCTGGGCACAGTGTACACAGTGAATTGCAGGGAACGGGGCAGAAACAGTGACATTGGCTAGTGATGCTTTACAGCAATCTACTACAGAGATGATCACATTTGGACTAAAGTGATAACAGTGGACAGCGAAAGAATGGATCTGATTTCAAAGTATTTAGTAGGTGAAATATTCAGAACTTAGAGATGAATTTTAGGACATAAGTGGAGAAGCAGAATTAAGAATGAATCTTGGGCTTTTGGCTTCACATGTGTGGTTGGTAGAAATACTTCCTAAGCCAGGCAGGAAACACTGGGGGGAAAATAGGGCTGGGATGGGGTACATTGTGGGGCTTGTTGAGTTTGAGGTGTTTGGGTAACATCCAAACAGAAGAATCTTCCAAGAAGCTAGGGTTTCAAGTCTGAAACTGAGAGAAGGAGACCTTGGCTCAAGATTTGATTTATGTGCCATCCCCAGAAAGATGGTAGTTAAGGAAAAGAAAAATAAAAGTGGAAGAAGCCACTGAGAAACAGTTTGTTGAGTGAAAAGAGAATAAGGTCAAAGCCGAGGGTTGAGGAATGGTCATATAATAAAGATAACAGAAAGTTGAATATTCAGAAGAGGTGACCAAAAGAAAGACGGCACAGATACTTTGTCATACAAGTACCTGGCAGAGAATGCCCAGGAAAGATGGGATTGCTGGTGGTATCAGTGATTCCCAGGAGTTTAATTATGTGAAAGGCCTGAGCGCCTACATGTTCAGTGGATTTAAACACTGAAAAGGCAATGAGGCAATGACACCTGTAGTGGGACCCATATCATTGAATTACTATAAGTAGAAGCCAGATCGCACCTTCTGAAGGAGGCTGTTCAATAAACACCAAAAGGTAAATAGTAATCATAGCTGTCACTTGCCAAGAATATTCATTATACCAGGCACTCAAAGCCAGTTTGGGTGTCATCAGACTCAATAATTGTTGTGGAAACCAGGGCCTATGGAGGTTAAGTCATTTTCCAAGGTGATGCAATATGCAAAGAGAAGTGTTGAGTTTCAGCATGTTTCCTCTGATGTCAAAGCGTTTGTACTGCGCCATTCTGTCAATCTGGCTTGGGGATGACAGGCTTTCTTGAGCAGCAGAATTGGCCTCAAGGTCCTTTGGGGATTTGTGCTTTGGAAAATAAGGAGGACAAAGGGATCATGAAGCCACTTAAATCAATCGAATCACTAGAACAATTCAGAAAGAACAAAACAAACATGAGATTATACGGGGATCCTTTTCATGAGTAAAAAGTGATAAAAGCAATAGTTTGATGTAGAGTGACATGGAAAATTAAGCAGGGAAGAAAGGGGAGAGAGGACCATGAGAATATGCTCTGTGTACTTAAAAGAGAGACACCCTAAGATGAGGCCTTATTTATATGCAAACCTAATCTTGTACAGTATTTCAGCTCAATTCAGTAATGAAGGACTAAATTGGGGGAAAAGGCCAATATTTTGTATAGATACCAGATGCCCCTTTCTCTGTAGTGATATACAAGTACAGGTGACTTCATATTTATGCTTTAATTTCTTGTACTTATTCTCTCCCACTAACTCTGGGTATGTTTTCTCCTCTCTCCTTTTTATTTTTAGATCATGCTTCTTAGTGATCCTGAAATGGAGAGCAGCATATTGATCAGCTCAGATGAAGGTGCAACTTATCAGAAATACCGGCTCACCTTTTATATCCAGAGTCTGCTCTTTCATCCCAAGCAAGAGGACTGGGTGCTGGCCTACAGCCTGGACCAAAAGGTGAACAAACACTGTTTTTATTCACATCCTTTCACCTGGGTACCACTTGGTGAAAAGCACTTGCTTATTGCATCCAAATTTGAGGGATTCACTGACATTTCATTATTCCAAACAAAGTTGATTTTGTTTTTAGCAGCTAACCTTCCTGTCTACTCTTTATTATCAAAACACGTAGAAGGTATCTTTCATTTATTGGCAAAGTTCTTTATTATTTTATAGGTTCAAGATGATTTTCTCTGTAACTTTACTTACTTCACCTTTACCCTGTGAAGTAAATAGGAAATGTGGACTCATAATAATTTTATAGTGGCTGTAGTAAACAAGGCTGTTGAAATGTACCAGCTAGTAGGTGGAGGAGCCAAGATTTGAATGCATATTGTTCGATTTCAAGACTAGGGTGCATTATATCACACAATGCTGCCTTGATTTGATAAAATTTGAATATACTATTGTTCTGAGTTTAGCAAAAAAAGAAAAGCTTTAACCGTGTCTGTTTTGTTATTTTCTGTAAGTACATTCAGGATATCATGGGCCAATAAGTCCTTCTCTTTGAGTTCCACCTCCATATATTCTGGTCATGTACTTGGTCTTGTCTCTTACAGTCTCAGAAGCCTCTTGATTCAACATATTCCAAAAATGAACTATTGATTTTACCCCAACATAGCTGGTTCTCTTCCAGTATTTCCTAATTGTAGCCAGTTAGTTGTAAAAGTCAGAAATTTAGGAGGTGTGCTTAATACTTCCTTGTAGTCCTAACCCACCATCTGTAACCACCATCAAATCTTACTTCTAACTCTCTCTGGATTCCATGCCTCCTTTCTAATACCACTGCCATTCAAATACAGGTTACTGGTGTCATTTGAATTATGGCCAGAGCCTCTTCCACTGTGCTCATACTGTTACCTAAACAATACATTTTCCAAATGTAGATCTTATGATTTATTACCTTTTTACAACTTCTTTATTTTCTCATTGCTCAAAGAAGAAAGACCACAGTCCTCAGTAGGATGTGTCAGCACCTGGTCTGGTTCCTCCTTCTCCTTCTCGACTCACTGTCGTCGCCTCCTCTTGAATGTTTTCCTTCAGACCCTCACTTCAGCTGTCTTCCTCACTCCATTTCCTGGGCCTGGAATCTTCTTCCCTAAAGGAAACCTCATCACTGCCATATGTCAGAGCTCCTATCACGTCCTCAGGGTATCTTCCCTAAACCTCTGACAAAGTTACGTTCTCCGTGATGCTCTTCCTCATAGCATGGTGACAAAGAGCACTAATACCCTTTCAGAGTACTGTCATAATTGAGATTTTACAATTAATTTATGCGATTTTTGGATTATCTGCATTCCTCACTAGATAGAAAACTCCAGGAATATAGGGCCGTCTCTGTTTGTACTTACTGTTGTAGCATCAGACCCGAGCACAGTGCCTGGTACTTAGTAAGTGCTCAGTAAATGTGTGATAAGTGGCCTAATTAGTGGAAGAATGCATACACGTTATGGTAACCAATCCCCTATGATTGATCAACTTATACTTAAGAAAATGGACGTTAGATGATTCATCTTCACATTTTCTGCAATCTCCAGAACCTTTGTACAGTACTTGATGTCAAACTAGGATATAATAATGCTGTAGAGTCAATTAATGTAAGGAAATGGAAAATTCCAAGCACTGTCTTAAATAGAGAGATCCACAGAATAAACTTGGTTGAAATAGCTTCTTTATTCTCTCTTGAATCCTGAAGTAGTTGCTTTTCAGTGTATATTTGAATATGGGATTGTAAATGGGAGTGGTAAGTGAGTGTGTGTGTGTGTGTGTGTGTACATGCACGTGTGGTGTCAGCACCTTTGAACAATGATTTCAACATAACCTTTGTATCTCTCATTAATGGAGCCTTGAGGTGGGCATCAGGCACTTAATGCAATCCCCCAAGGACAACTACATGACATTTGCAGAGCAAAAGCCGTTGCAAATACATTTCTTTCATGGCATCAAGTGGATATTGTATAAAAGACTTAGCCAAATGTCAGACAGTCTGTGAGTGTAAATGTTCAATATATTTAGGAATTTTGATGCTGTGATGAAAAAAATAAATTACTTGGATTATTAAATGGCCAGATGGTAATTTAGGAGCTCAGAACTCCTGAATCATGTTTTTATTTATACAGAGACAAGCTACCAATGGGTTTGAAGCAACAGACATCTTATGACAGGTCAATGAACCAAAGGCAGTGTGCCTTGTGTGTATCTAGAAGGAGTATCCTTCCTGTCCATCACCACAGCACTGAGAGTGGTTGCGGTGTTGCTCAAGATGTACCTACCTGTAGGTACTTACCTGTAGGTAAAATGCCTACAAAATATTTTCAGACTTAGTGGTTGCTCAAGACATACCTACCAGTAGGTACGTACCTGTAGGTAAAATGCATACAAAATATTTTCAGACTTAGTGGTTGCTCAAGACATACCTACCAGTAGGTACGTACCTGTAGGTAAAATGCATTCAAAATATTTTCAACTTAGTGGCTGCTTTTTACTTAGTACAAGTATTTGGAAATGTGATGGTGGTGCTGATGGATTTTCTTAAACACACTGTGCACTTCTGGACAGACTGTTCCTCGGGCACTGTTTCTTGTTGTCACCTTCTGTGTAAAGTCGCTGACTGTTCTTCAGGCCCATAAAGTTTCTAACCGGTGCCCTGTCGTTCTTTTAAATAAATGGTATGAGGAGACAGATGATGCCCCTGGCAACATTTGCAGAGATGACATAAAACACCTAGACCCAGTCATCCACATTGTGGAAGTTTTTCTTTATTTCGAGGTGATTTATCGGTTTAGAGTCCAGGAGAATGATGCTGTACAGCAGCAAATGAAGATGTAAGGGGAGTTGAGCTTGATATACAATTGTCTTATTTCAGTCTGAAGCCTTCTCTGATGTGCTTGCATTGAGGCAGCTGGCTTCTTCCAGGGAAAATGAAAAGTGCTAGGGTTAAGGTAACTGCAGCATCAAAGGGAGATGTTTGTGGTGAGGAGTGAAATCAATGTTTTCATTATTGTGCCTTTGATGAAATGCACTAGTGATTTTTTTTTTTAGGATCGGTAAGGCTGTCTTGTTCTGCTGTATGTATTACAAAAGACCTAATTGAATGATATTTTAAAGGGATCACATTCAATTGCTTTACCCTCCAAATTGCTATCCCAAAGCAGCAGGAGACCTTCCAGGAGATTTCACCTGGTAAAAGCGCTGCTGGAGAACGAAGCTTATACCTTCTGGGTAGAACAAAATTGTACCTAAAAATTGAGAGATGCACACAGTGCTGTGTCCTGTGTGCCTCAGGGCAACTTTTGAGTCAACTGGAAAACATGGTTACGTTGCACTGGTGAAGGTCAGATTGTGGGTTAAGGTCTTCTGAGCTTCCAACTTCCAAAACTTCAAAGGGGTGGGGAGGTAGGAAGCAAATGCACCTTGTACTTGACCCATTTGGAGTGCCATACCTTTCCAGTTCTGTTGTGTCCCAATATAGCAAAATCCTTTCTGTTTCCTGCTCAGCTTGACCTGGGTTTTTGACCAAGTCTTTTCATTCTGACCATCCTAGGAGAATCCCAATTCCTGCCAGTTTCTGTGCCAGCTCCTGCATTTCAATATAAAAGGACTCAGTGCTTAGTAAAGACAAGAGATTCTTTCTTGGGTAAGAATCTTTGGATCTTTGGAGGTGCTTTATGAGAATTTTTGTGATTGAAAAACAACCAGCAAAAGTAATAGGTTATGGTTGACCAAACTGGAAATTAAGAAGCAAAAACAAAACAAAACAAAAAACCCTCCTTCCCTGCCCTCCTCTGTCCTACCTTCCCTTCCTCACCAAAGCCCTAGAAACATCTTTTGAGGGCTGAATGTTTACCTGCTATTTAGGAGACAGGGTTCTTTTTTGTGTTCAGCAGGCCATTGCCTCACTGATGACTGAAGCAGCTTATCTTGTGATGCTTGGGATTAGTTGGAGGGCTCAGCGCTCTTACTAAAACGGAGAATTTTTGAAAGATTTTGAGATAGGGTCTGAGGACATTAAAATCTTCTAAATAAGTAGGTGTTGTTCTCATTATAGAAAGCTGGATGTTTAAACATCCCTCATTTTGACAAGAGACTCAGTGCAGTTTTTTTTAATGGGCATGTGCTTACGTGTTCCCAGATACAAACACGGCACAGGGGGCTTCCACCAGAGATGGAGGACAACATAGCTATTTTTCTATGTGAGAGGTGGGATTGCAAAGCTCTTTATTATCATTCCTCTTCTTGGCAAAATGAAACTTGAACAAATAGGACTGGCTTTGGAGATCAGAGTTGAGGAATTTGGTGGGATTTCAAATTTTACTGGTTTTCAGACACTTCTGGGCTAGCCTGATCTGGAATTGCCAATAATTTCTGTGTAAAAACCACTTTCTGAAGCACTAGTACATTAATGACAGGTTGCTGTTACAGTAGTTGGAGAGGTGAGTGTGCAGCTATGGTTTGGTTTTGCTTTGTTGTGTTTTTTGATGGTCTTTAACCAGCCAAGTTCAATAGCAGCTGTCAGACCGACAAGCTGGTTAAGAAGCTGATGCAATTTGAGGCATGGTCACTGGCGAAACAGGGTGTACTGCGGAGGAGATGATGGTGCTTGCATGTGGGCTTTGCTGGTTGGTTGGATCCAACCGGGGCTCCACGGTCCACATGCACAGGTTACTGGTGAATTACAGTGTATCTGGTGTCCGGAGGGCTTGGAAATATGAAAGGATGTTTAAACCTTTGCTTCTGAAATGCTGGATAAAAAAGAAACTGTTTCTTTCACTTAAATTCTCATATAAACCCTCAGATTAGAAGTGTAATTGTATTCAGAGCCTCTGGTATTAGTAGGTGATGATAATTTTCCTCAGTAGCTATGGCAGAAGCTGGTGTCCTGTCTCCCCCACCTGCTGGGGATTAACTAGGGCTGACCATGGTTTTGAAGCTTATCGCTCATGGAATAAGAGTAGGAC